GAAGGGGGTTTGCCATGTTTTGCCGCTTTCCGTTTAAGCCTTCTGTGCAGGTACCCCTGCAAGACCATCCCCAATACAGCAGCTTTTTGAGGGGCAAGGCCACCCATGTACGATGGTGGCAAGTGGCACTGTCCAATTCCAAAAGTGTGGTTTGGAAGCGCTGGGATTTGTATTCCAGTAGCGCCCAGCTGCTTTGATTAATTTAGGTCGCAGATAGATGGTTGTGATGTGATGTCAGGCAGTAACAGGCAGTTTCAGGCAGAAATAGAACAGCCTGATAATTTGGATGTGCAATAAGCCAAAACTGCCCGAAGTTGCCCGGGAAAGACTCCCAGTTGCGCGATCCCCCGTTAAGGGGCAGAAGCTTTGTTCCAACGTCAACCAAGACGTAGAGGAACCTGTCAGGTGCCAATGCCCGCGTCAGGAGCCTCGGGACCGGCGCGGTCCCCGTCGCACCGACGAGGATGTGCCCGCATGGCCGGGAGTCCGAAGGAAACCGCCGAGTCGAGCCTAGGGAGCCTAGGGGGGTCTGTAGTGTATGATATAGCTTTCTTAAAATGGATGGATGGATGGATGGCTGGCAGGGATGGATGGATGGATGGCTGGCAGGGATGGAGGGATGGAGGGATGGAGGGATGAAGGGATGGATCGATGGATGGATGGGTGGGTGGATGGATGGATGGCAGGGATGGATGGATGGATGGCTGGCAGGGATGGAGGGATGGAGGGATGGAGGGATGGAGGGATGGATCGATGGATGGATGGGTGGGTGGATGGATGGATGGATGGCAGGGATGGATGGATGGATGGCTGGCAGGGATGGAGGGATGGAGGGATGGAGGGATGGAGGGATGGAGGGATGGAGGGATGGAGGGATGGAGGGATGGAGGGATGAAGGGATGGATCGATGGATGGATGGGTGGGTGGATGATGGATGGATGGCTGGCAGGGATGGATGGATGGATGCTGGCAGGGATGGAGGGATGGAGGGATGGAGGGATGGAGGGATGGAGGGATGGAGGGAGGGATGGAGGGATGGAGGGATGGAGGGATGAAGGGATGGATCGATGGATGGATGGGTGGGTGGATGGATGGATGGATGGCTGGCAGGGATGGATGGATGGATGGCTGGCAGGGATGGAGGGATGGAGGGATGGAGGGATGGAGGGATGGAGGGATGGAGGGATGAAGGGATGGATCGATGGATGGATGGCTGGCAGGGATGGATGGATGGATGGCTGGCAGGGATAGAGGGATGGAGGGATGGAGGGATGGAGGGATGGAGGGATGGAGGGATGGAGGGATGGAGGGATGGAGGGATGGAGGGATGGAGGGATGGAGGGATGCAGGGATGGAGGGATGGAGGGATGGAGGGATGGAGGGATGCAGGGATGGAGGGATGGAGAGATGGAGGGATGAAGGGATGGAGGGATGGATCGATGGATGGATTGGTGGATGGATGGTTGGATGGATGGATGGATGGATGGATGGATGGATGGACGGATGATGGATGGATGGACGGATGATGGATGGATGGATGGCTGGACGGATGGATTGGATGGATTGGATGGATTGGATGGATTGGATGGATTGGATGGATTGCATGGATTGCATGGATTGGATGGATTGCATGGATTGGATGGATTGCATGGATTGCATGGATTGGATGGATTGGATGGATGCGTGCGTGGGTAGGTAAGGTAAGGCAAGGTAGGTAGATAGATAAAACTTAGATGTATATGTATTTGCATGCGGCGAACGTGTTCTGACTTGGATGAATGAGACGGCCGCGTATGAGACACGCAATGAAGCACTTTTCATTCTGGGAATACGGCAGATGAGATGGATCCCAAGGGAGCCCCAAATGTGTGTGTGTGTTGTTTGAGAATACCCCCTTTCAAAAATGACAACTCCATTTGTGTGGAACTCATATAGGAAACAACTATGTTTGTGGCCCTCATATCAACCATTTGTGTCGCCCTCATATTATAGTTAGAGGAAAACTCCCCGCGTCTCTGTGGCCTTCACAAAGTTGTACAGGGAGCAAACACATTTTTTGTGGCCCTCAGATAGGATTCCCCACCCTTTTTTGTGGCCCCCTTTTGAAGACCTCGTGCTTCAGCCATGCCTTCGCTGAGGCTCAAAGGCGAGGGCGCCCCACCAGGCCTTGCCCAGGTGCCGAGAAAAAAAGAAAAAGTTGCAGAGCATGGCGTCAGGAGTGCTGGTATTTGGTGGCCCAAACATGGGTTGCCTTTTGAAAAAGTCGGCTGAAATCTGTGGTCTCAATTTCTGGTTTGATAGTTTTGAGAGCTGCACCCACCTCAAATTTTCTGTTTGCCCTTCAAAAATAGTCGTGACTTGCTATCCTGTTAGCTGGAATCATGTGGGTTAGTTTTGTATTTGCGTGTCATAGGAGCAGAGGAGCGTTGGACCATTTATACCACTGCACTCACGTTGCGGTTGCCGCCATTTTTCATTTTTTTGGAGTTCAAAAGAGAAGGAAACACTAGCGGGAATCGATCTCGGCTGTGTTTGTTGCCCAAGGAGCCACATATTTGAAGGAGTAACGGGGCCTACCCCCTATCCCTACAAGGCAAAGCCATGGCTCCAACAGTCCGAGAGGGTAACCCAAAGAAGGACTTCTCCAAAACGACATGCTTCCATTTGGTTAAAAATATTGTTTATTTCCCCTGTTGGTTCCTGGAGCACCCTTCGTTACATAAATTTCTGCCCTTAGCCCAAACGTATTGCAAAACCAGGGGTCGTCACCAAAATATGGTAAACGTACACTTTTTCCTGCTTCGAGCGTTTTTCCCAAAACCGGGCTGGTCGGTCCTCCAAGATGCTCGGTCGCTGAATATTCAAAAGGAGCGAGCAAAAATCAAAGTGCAAAACGAGCGCAAATATCCACAAAACGAGCGCAAATATCCGCAAACGAGTGCAAATTTAAAAAACGTAACAATCCCGCCTTCCTCTGGATTGAAGAAGGGGATGTGATCGAGCGTTTTTCGGGGGGGCGAGCGTTTTTTGGGGGGTCGAGCAGAAATCGGTAATTCGAGCGTTTTTTTCTCGTACCTAAAAAAAAAGGCACGTTGGGTGCCTCAGGTTTTAATAGGAATATATCACTACTGGAAAGTTTTTTTTGTTAGGGGACTTAAGCAAATGGAGGCATGTTTTGAGGGTACACAACATATGAAACACTTAAGCTATGTGTTGTGGAGCCCCCCAAGATGCCTAAAGGGAGGAATCAACCCCAAGACCATGCGGAGTTGAGATGTGACCTAAAACGGGCACCCCTTTCGAACGGTCCCCTTAGGCTCCCGTTCGATTTGTGTTTGTTGGTTTGTTTTGGTTGGTGGGGATTCAAGAAGGCCGAGCCTGGTCAAAGGACACCGGCCGCAACGCTTTGTGGGTCGCCACCGAGCTAGTGGCAGCTAGTGCTTGGGAAGGGAGCCGTTGATTGCCGGTCCTCCCACCATATCTTCAGTTTGTTGCCGTGTGTCGTTCACAACACTTGACCACTTTGGGCTTCCATGGTAGTTGGAAAATCTGTTGGCTTCAGCAAAGGCTTCTGATGGTCAGGACATTCAAGCTCAGCAACTGAGAGGTGTCCTTTCAACTGCTCAGTTTTCTAGGGTCCCCTGCAACACTATACTAAAACCAATTATAGGCGTCAGATGCATGGAGCAGAGTCAGAACATCTGCCCCTCGTTTGGTGCTTGGAATCATCGAGTGAAGCGTGAATACAGCCCCCCAAACTTTCGGGATTTTCATTCGGGAATGATCTGGAAGTGGATTCCTCATGCCACCTGGACCCTCAAACCACCCTCAAAATGAATTTGTCTGCCCAAAAGATCACATGCCCACAACTTCCTACCTGACTATAGACAGCCCAGCATGCCCCAAGATGTTGGGTGGCGAATTCGCAAAGTGAGACGGATGTAAAGCTATAGGACGATTTTTTGGACCCCAAATAAGGATTGCGCCCAAAGACCTCAAAAACAACTGTAGGTTTTGGGTTTTTTAGGTCGATCCCATTCACTTGAGCAAGTGGCTTTACTTGCTTCAATTGGGACTAAAGCCTCTAACCTTCATTGTTAGACTCATTTGCTCAAAGCTGATCGACCTTTTCGCCTTTTGGTCTCATCCATGTTTAGTGGCCCTATTTGGGTCTTTTAATAGTCCATTCTTGGTGGCCCTTTTCGGTGATGTCCGGATTTGTTCTTAAGTGGTTGCAGCTCCCAGCGTTTCCAGTTACCAGTCCCCCAGTATTGCCCTGTTACCCTTTTTTGGGGGGGGCTTCCCCTACCAAAATAGACAACAAACATGTACTATTCCAACCTCTCTAGCGGAGGACCTAGGTAGGTAACCAAGGGACACCATGAGGTAAATCCCAAAGGTAGAGCCATGCCTGGTGACCTGTACTCGCGACGCCTGGCGCACTGGGAGCTGAGTCGCCTCATCCGGTCGTGTCGCCGAGTTTTTGCCAGGTGCTACCTGCGGACTGGCAGGCCAGGACCTTCTGCCAGCTGCCCCAAGGCATCCCCGCCCGGAGCCTCGTGATTTTTGGGGGAGAACCTCCCACCCCCCACCCGACCCGCGGTGTCAAGTTGTTGCTATTTTTTGAGGTGCAGAAGGTCCCGTGACTGTTCTTTCTGGTGTTTTGGGGTGTAAAGTTGGTGTTTTTTTTTAGGTGCAAGAAGGTCCCTTGACTTGTTGTTTGTTTCGAGGAGGGTGCAAACCTCTGCAGTAAAACCAACTAAGTATTAAAGTGTTTTTTGTCCCTGGGCTAAGAAGAGGTGCAAGCAGGCGAAAACCACGCTGGGGTCCCCTGAGGTTCCTTCTGTTCAGTTGTGTCCACGGGTTGGTCACAGCTTGTCATGGGGGCCGACCACAAAGCGTTTGTGTTGGTCCAAAAGGGGGAGTCAAAAGCGAATCGGCCATGTTAAAGGGTATGTGAAAAACACGATTCAACTAAATCTCGAAGGCGAGCTCCGGAGGATGCGATCATCTCGTCGGCACTGCCCTGGGCGAGGATCGTGACGCCCGGAAATTTCAGCCCAGCACGACTACGCTCGAGAATGTCACCACCTGGAATACCGATAACTACGAGATCGGACGGATGCCGGACTCGCAGGGGCTGGCCGGCCCGGTCAATGCAGAGATGTCTGTCCAGTTCGTCAGCGAATGGATGGGGATGAACAGTTCGTGGGACATGGACGCGAAGGTCTCCAGTCACAACCTCCTAAACAGCTCTCCGGACCTGCCTCTTGAAGCTCAATGAGGAGAACGTAAGGTGACACCAGATTACCTGAGCACGCTTGCGCCGCCGCATGTTCTATTTGAGAGGGAGGAGTGGCCTGTAACCCCGTTCAATCGCAAGCAAACTGGTTCGGAACCCTCTAAACGAAGAGGTTCAGCTATCCCTCTGGGGCCAAGTTAAGAGGTGGACCCTCTTTGAGTCTAGTCCCGACCCCTTCAAAGGCGGTACAACATGACACCAAAGGCACGCGACCCCAAAGCTCATTTCTGGTGATTTTCGCCCAAATCACCAATCGCCCTTCCAACCGCGTGACCATTGACTGTGATCTCAACCCACCCCCGGGATCATTTGCGGGTTGTGGCAGAAACACCGCCTTGACACTGATCCTTTGCGTTTGATTTGGAGAGTTCCTCTCGACCTAGATTAGAACATTGGACACTTGGATTGTTTGGAAGGAGCCGCTGAGTGGTTTACTGGATGTTGTTACCCCCCTTGGATGTTTGGAAGGACTCGGGACTTGCATGATTGATTACTAACACGGAACCCACAAGGGCCAATCCTAAAAAAGAGATCTCTCAAAGGTGGGTTTTGTGGGATCCCATGTGAATTGTAAAAGGGCAAGCTGTTCATTTCCAGGTTCCCGTTTGAAGTCTGATTGCTAAAACAACATGTTGTTGTTTTTTTTTCAAAATGAGGGTTCCATCCAGATTTCCTGTGGTGTCCCATAAAACCTAGCCAACACTGGATTCGCCTCCCACATGAGGTTTGGCCAGGGAAAGGTTTGGACGCCCCTTTAACCAAATTGCAACAACATCGTTCAAATAGGAGTCAGACCTTGACTGACTCACAATGGCCACAGTTTTTGCTTGCTTTCCCTTCACCAACCAAACCCTGGCAACGGTTTCCCGTGAGTCCCAAGTTTGGGCTTCAAACCAAAACTTCCCGCGGTTCAGCTCTCGGTCAGCTGAGATCCTTAGGTGGTGTGGTTGGAGCGCCAAGACGCGGAGCGGGTGAAGCGCCGCGCGCCGCCGCTGGTGCCGGGCGCCCGAGTTGGCTTCGTCCTTGGGGTGCATGTTTGGACCCCAAGGTAGACTTGGGTGTGGCTCCGTTTTGGTTCGGAGTTGGTACACCGTTTTTGGGGGGTTTGAAAGAGAAACCAAAAGGAAGAGCGAAGCCATATTGGGGGGGTCCCCTAAAAAAGGATGGGCCCAGGTTGACCAGGAGTTGCTTTCCCTCAAAAGTCCAAGCTAGTCCGCCTGTCAAAATGTTGAGCCTGGCTTGGGTGCTGGCCTCCTGGAGGAAAAAATAATCCAACAAATAGAGGGTCATGGTCATGATCTTCGAGGAACCCTAGCATTGTCTAAGTTCCCCTTTAAGATATCAACCATCCCCACCAGCCCGAAAGTGTGTCTTTTGCCCTCACACGGAAATGCCGACCCCTGGCGAATAACTTTCGAGGGACATACAAAGTGGTTGCCATGGTGCACATGCGGTCGTTGCGTATCGGGTAATCCCCAAAATGGGTTGACCTGTGCCAACATGGCTATCGCGCTGCGTAAAGTGTATATATACATATATTAAAATGGGAATCAGACCCCAAACAAGGGTGCGCTCGAAAAACAGGAAACAGGTCATTCAGCTGCTTTGTGTAGATTTAGACTCAAGTCAGCTTCCTTTTGGCTGGGTGATGCCGAACGGGGATGTTGTGTACAATATTATATGTACGTTTTTGTATTTTATATATGTGTTTGTATGAATTTTGAGTGCCCCCGACGTCATTCAGGTGCGGATTCATGTCCACCAACCACTTTTGAGGTAGTTCTTTGTTAGAATCTCTGGTTATAGGGACCGGCAAGCTTATGCCTCGTTGCCGCCCCAAGAGGCTTCTTACTTGGCAGGCCGTTTCCCAGGTCTCGGCCGCCAATGCCGCCCATGGGTGCCGCGCTTGGATCATGGCTTTTTCTGTTGACCCTCCTTTTGAGTGTTGGGGAAAACATGGGGACTTAAAAGGGACCTCCCTAAATGAAATTCCACCGTAGGGCCTTGGGGTGTCTTTCGTTTTTTTTTTTTTTTTTCCAAGCAGGCCAAATAGCAAACCCTGGAAGTGGCATGGATAACGGGGTGAACTCCGGATGGCCCTTGGCACTAGAGTTGCCAATAGGGAGCCACCCCAGAACATGGAAGAAGAGGGGCTACGCTCTTTCCAGCCATGGAAGAGCACGGATGGAAGCTACCATCCTCGTATTAAGAAGCAAAGTGTGTTGAAGGGCTAGTGGTTTGTAATTGGTGGTTTGGATTTGGTGGTCTGGGAATCCGTGGTTCTTGTCGAGGGCAAATGGGAAACCACCCCCAACCATCAAAGCACCAATCCAAACCACACTTTTGGAGGGAAGCTGAGAACCCCACTAAACCTCCAGATAACACCCCTGCAAATCCTTGTTTCCAGTGTTGCTAAGCATTTAGCTGACAGAACAACTAAGTCGAGGCCCTTGTATTTTGCTGTCGGCAGGATCAAGTGAGACTGGCAGAGTTTCTGGACAATCTTTGCGCCGGTTTCGGTCTGGCTCCAATTTTGGTAATGTAAAGGTCTGCAAGTATAGAGCCGTCTTTTTACGATCTAGGCTTTTGACCAGGTTTTAACAAGACCCCGGTCCCAAAGCCAATCTAGGAAGGTTCTCTGTCTCTGTTTCTACACGTCTGGTTTCAACGTGCGAAAAACCCAAAGAAAAAAAAAGCAAGCTATTGACCTGCTCGAACCCAGGTGCTTCATCCTCCAGATGTGGATGTGGAGGCCACCTTCAGAGGCGGAAACTGGTCGTCAAGTTCCGAGTGCTTGCTTGGCCTTGCTCTGTGCGGCGGGTTCCGTGTGTATTTTTGTTTGGGGAACCTGCTTGTGCTCCTTCCATTTGCTGAAAACAATATGTTTTTAATTTCCCTTGCTGGTTTTAAAGGGAATCTATCGCCACTTGTTTTTTTCTCGGGGCATAAGCAAATGGAAGGAGTGTTTCACGCGGAACCAACAAGACGCCTTGAACAGCTCGTTCTTCCGAGAGTGGCGAATGGCGGACATGGCGAACAACACGAACTGCAAGGTCCTTCCGACTCTCACTTCCAGAGTTCCTGGACTTTCAATTCAGCCTTTCGGGAAGATCATTTTACTTGGTGCTCCCAGCCATCCGGTTCCTTAGCCTTTTCGCCTTTTAGTGTTTTGCGTGGGTAGTTTCCATTTAAGCCACAAGTTCGTCACTTTTAGCGGGGGATCGGCTCTGAGGCCCAGTTTACTGGTAAACAACAAGTTCCCGGGCTTCCTTTGGCCCATCAGGAAGTGAGGACTTGGGAACTTTTCCTGGCCGGATCAGCCAAGCCTCCGTGCCGGCAAGCCTTGGCCATTGCCCATTTCGGCGGGGGAGGATCCACGCTCATGGGGGTCTTTTGTGGGGCTATCTGTTGATTGGCACCAAGAGGAAGCCAGCATGTTGAGGCGTGCAACTCATGAGGAGAGACAAATCCGGGAACAGGTGTGTTGCCAAACGTGTTTCTCCCTATTTTGGTTGGGGTGTTTCCAAGCCAGGGCCAGAACTCTTGGAAATGTCATAGGGCACGTCGTTTTCCGACAGAGCCTCGCGTCTTCGCTCGCCAGTCCCTTGCTGGGGCAGCGTGTGGAGAATCAAGAGTGGTTCGCCAAAAACGCCAAGCTCAAAGAGGCGCATCTTTGATGCCATACGATTCGGGTTTGGTCTTCCCTCCAACCCAACAAAAACCTGGGTTGGTTGCTTATAAGTTAGAATTCCTGTTTGATTTTGTGAATGGCCTCCGGTGACCTTTTGCTTCGAAGCACGGGGTTCAAAACAAACTCACCGAGGAATGCTGGGACCTTGATTTGCCCTTTGTGCAAGCTCATCTTTAATGTGGATGAGGCCGTTTACCGGGGCTCCGTTTTGTTCGGTGTTGTCCAATTGTTGAAACATATGTTAGGGAGGTTCCCAAAATGGGTGGTGTTGCGTTTGGTCCCCTGATAAACTGCCGCTGTGGGCAATCCACGAAGCCTGTCCCATGAGCCCAAAAAGGATACCGCTATTTTTGCTGGTGTCGAGGTGGATAAGATGCCCTGGCTTTCCTGAATGGAAGTCACGTCAATGACCGACGGCATTTCCCGGCTCAAAGAAATTGAGTCAAGGGCAATCAAGCGAGGAGAGTGGCTCGTTGGCAGACTCTGCGCGAACAGAAGGCAAGCGGGTGCCATGGGGGTTTGCCCGTGCACCCACGTCTCGCTGTCACCTTCTTATTCTCTGGAGGAGGAACTGACTCCGGCGGTAGTGCGGTGCTGGCCTTAGTTCCGGGCCAGGCTTGTCGCCGTTTTGGACCCTAAAGGGGGCTGGTTAGTGGAGGGCATGCCGTATAAACCATACCTGGACCCTTCGGCAGCAGAACTTGCTACCGAAAGGCCCTGGCGGCAGAAATTTCCGCCGACAATCAACAACTCGCTGCCCGCCAGAGACAGCGCCGAAACACTGCACGCGCATGGTCCTCCTCGAAAACATGTAGTCGTTCTTTTGAAGGCGTGGAACGCATATTCCAAAAGGTCTGAACGCGCCAATCTGAAATAGAGGGGGCCTTTATTTCCGGAAAGCCAACAAGGGTCAGTGACAGCAAGTGCCTAACATAGGCAGGGGAAGATGCTGAAACGATCAGTTGAACGAGTCCCTGGATTTGGTATGCCCAAGTCCAACTGGGAATGTGTTGCAGTTGGATTTGCGCAGGGTCATTCGTAAATGTAAACATTGCCAGGCTCAACTGACCTTTTTCTTTTCTGTTTGCCCCTTTGGGCTTTCTTCAAGCGGATTTGCCGTTTCCCTGCTGTTTCCGCATCTGTTGATGCGGTGCCAGGCCTTGGTATGACCCAGCTGGTAGTGTTGACCCCGGATCAACAAACCCCTGTTTATTGATATGGGGGTGTTCCCCTGCAAAAGTAAAGAACCCCCACTAAAACCAGGGACACCCCCCATATCTTTTGACAGGTTTTTTCTTAATCCGAGGCGGTTTGATTCTAAAGGGTTTCTCCCTTTCGCTGCTCCGTATGTGTCCTAGCGACCAGCCACTGTGCATGGGGTGGTCTTATATCAGTGTTCCCGGCAACCTGCTACCGCCACGGGCAAATGGAAGGCAAAGGTTGCGGCACCCCTTCCTGAACTTTGGTGCATTTGGGTTGGATGTTAGGACTTTAACTTTTTGCCAACTCATGGGTGATCCATTAAGCCACTAAAAGTTAAACTTTTAGCAGTGGCGCAGAAAGCAACCGAGTGAAATGGATGTGTGGCTTTGGCTGAGTACTTCTGCGAGCGATCAGAGTGGGCAGTGCCTTTGGGGGATCTTTGCATGGCGGTCGCTCCATCCATGGGTCGATCCTATAGCTTGCTTCCCCAATTTGCCAGGTGTTTGGCACTTTGCCGAGCAGAAGGATCCCTGAAAGGAATGCAGGAAGTGCAGCCTGATGGCTTCCCTTGCGCGTCAACATGGGTTGTGCCCAAGCGGCTGCAAGAAGCTATCCCAGTTGGGATGAGGGCCCCGGAAAGTCTGGGCGCCTTACGAGGACCATCGCCCGGTGCTGATTTAAGACACTTTGAGGAAGCCACTAGCTTGCTATTGGCCGCCAACTTAACATCCAGAAAGTCAGAACCGCAACGTAATTCTAAAATGAAGCTTGGACATGCCAGACGCGCGTCAGCAGCTGTCCGCGTTTGCTCGTTTGTTTGGCGCGCATCAAACGAAACTACAACCCCGCAAGGTGGTTCTGGGCTTTGGTATCAAGACATCTAAGTGCAAGGAAAGGGTGGTTGAACTCGTCAAGGTAATGGAAGCCCGGGATTAAGAGCCCGCCCGCTTGACGAGGGGGCCACAGGCACTTAGGACAATTTCCTCTGGCTTCCCAAGGCGACTGCACATGACGGAGCCCAAGTATCTGGCGTATACCAGGCGTGTCGACACCGACGGACCTGATGTAAAGGACCGCGACACGAGAGATCGAGGCCTGCCTCAAAATTAGGGGATCTCTGAAAGGCTGGGTGTCCTTTGTTTTTCCCCAACAGCTGAAAGCTTTGGGGTCTCAGCCCAGATAGGCGCCGGGGTGGTCCGGGGCGGCCCTGAGGCAAGGTTCCACGAGGGTTCGACCAGGGTTCCACCAGGGTTCCACCAGGGTTCCACAGGGTTCTGCAAGGGCTGTGGGGTGGTGCGAGCACTAAAAACGAGCACCGCATATATCACCCGAGCCTATGTGTTTCAATCCAACCAAAAAGGGTTCCCAAAGAAAAACACGTCAGTTCCCCTTAGGTGAATTGATCATTGATCGAGCTTCTCGTTGGGAGAGGTTAGCCCAAAGGGCCCAAGTAGCTCCCCAGAATTTCAGGGGTACAAAGGTGTTGAAGTACCTCACAAGGTTTGCAGGCACCCGGGGGGGATATTCAAACCGCTGAGAAACCTTGCTTCTTTGTTGTCTTATTTCGGAGGGCGTCAGTTTCTGGCAGAGGCCAGGCGTTTTTTTTGATGGCCTCATGGGAAGGCCCAGTGAGGATCGTGCCCTTTTACCATTTTTGTTTTTGGGAAGGGTTTGGGACCCTACTAAAATTGAGTACACAGAAAAGGGTACCAACTTATTCTAACCTCTCCACTGGAGGATCTGGATAAAGCCCAAACCCTGAAAAAGGTGCGCATGCTGCACGTAGCCTTGGGCCAGGGAAGATTGGCCATTGACCCGCCTCTTGATTTGTAAGGGGAATCTTCAGATTCAGGGTGTCGGGATCCTTTCTTATATGCTAGACGCTAGGTTGATCGTTCAGGGTACCTGATTCATTTCTGGTGGTTGATGTTTCGGAGTTGCACTCGCTCCATGGCTAGGGCAGTAGAGTCGATATGCTGCGCAGAGGACGTGTGGGATGGGCTCACTGCCATGGACGCTGCTTTAGATGGCACTGGTCGTATCATCCTGCTCTACTCTGGCTATGTCATAGAGCCAGGAACCCGTGACCATGAGCACCTCGCTCTTCTTAAGGTCAAGCTTGGAGAGCGTGCATGTTGGATGGTTTTTTGGGTCGTGGGTCCCTAGGAGCGTCCTGGGGCTCGATCGTGTAATTTCGGGTGCTGATCCACAGCCGACCTCGAAGCGAATGCTTACTGAGGTATCAGGCAGGATGGAACCGCGAGCACGTGTGGCCGAGAAGTGCCCCAGTTGCCCAGTAGCACGTTGTGCGTGTTGTATTTGTTTGGGGGGCATGGGGGGTGGCGCCCTGAAAACCTGGCAATGAAATGTGTTCTTCTCTCGGTTGTCGTTGGGAACATTTTACATTTTTGATTATTGTGGTTTAGTGGTTGAAATCCAACCACTTGGCTGCTAAAACCTGAGAATGTTTGCTCCCCAAACCCAACGTCAACCAAGTTCTTGGCAGCTTGCTTGTTTGCAGGTTGTTTTTCGCTTCAACCTTGCCAGCTTGTTAGGGCGGCTCAGGTAAAGGGGGTCTGTCGACATCGCAGCCGGGACCGGGGACGGACTTGCATAACCTGCACGCGGCAGACATCAGCGTCAATGCCGAGAGGGGCAACAAGGACTCAGTTCAGATCAAAACCGACCTTTTCACTTTCGGTTTTTCCATGTTGGTCCAATTTTAGTATTGATCCCAAAAGGTTAACTGGGCAACTGAGAGGAGCAGACGTTTCCGAAAAGATGTCTGGGTGAATGTCAACTGGGCTATGACCTAGTCTCCTGCGTTATGAATATTCAAGAGATGTAACATAGGCAAGATATAGGCCAGTTTGCGCATATCGCTTGGGCTACCGGTTTTCCACCATTGTTTCCGACCATTGGACCATTGGAGATCTTTGGGGGTCAACAGTCTCAACATATTCAGGTTCCAAGGGCTTAGGGGCAACCCATGATCGCAGGCAAGCATGGCACAAGGTCAGAACCGTACCACATACCTTTTCAGCATGGGCCCCGGACACTTTTTACAAGGCATCCTATCATCTTGGGCCTTGGCTGGGGTGATCATCCGGAGACTCGATCTTCGCCCAAGCTTGGGGTATGCTCAAAAGGTATGTGGGAGGGTTCTCCAGGCAAGCCGTAACCGGGTTTCTGGGCAGTGGGGTTCCCAGACCTCAGCCCTCAACCCATGTGCCGCAGGACTTCGACGACTTAGACGAGGGCCAGGCTGCGGAAGTGTGGCAACCGGAGTTTCCGGTTGGCTTCTTTGTTGTGTAACAAAACCACCTGAGCCACAATCAAATCCCAGGTAGATGAAGCTTAGCAAGGGATGCTCTCAACCAAAAATAGCTGCGGATATCCGCCTTCTTAATTCTTTGCACGGTTCTGGGCAGACCATCTTATAACCGGGTTTTGATTTTGACTCACATCGGATTATCATGGATTCTTTTTGGTTAAAAGTTTAGGGCGTCAAAAAGTCGGTGCTGGGCGGTCTCAACATAGATTTTGCCACTAAGCCTACCAGAATTGTTTTGCCCCCCCTCCCGCCCCCGCGTTTGCAGGGAAACCAAGACGAGGCTATGGGCTATATGCCAGGGAGTCTTTCGTTTTGGTTTAAGCGTTGCTTGGGGTACATTTGCCACTAACCCTACCGGAGCCATTTTGTTCAGCCGAAACCGAAGTCTCGAGGCTGTGGGGTTCTTGTGGGCTCTATGCCAGGCCGGGGTGCGAGTGGTCACGGACCCCTCGCCGGCCCCGGGGTACCAAGACATGAAGCGCCTTTGCCTGGTGGCTGCGGACGCCTGGGAGCCATCGGACTTGGCAAAGGGCACGGCGTCTCGGTCGACATGTTGGTCGTTTCTTGGGGCGGTTCCTAGCCATCCGGTTCCTAGCCATCCGGTTCCATGCACTTGCGACTTGCACTTGACTCCTTGCACTTGCAACTTGTACTTGACTCCGCGCACTTGCAACTTGCACTTGACTCCATGCACTTGGCTCCTTGCAACTTGCAATGACTCTCATGACTCCTTGCAATGACTCCTTGCAATGACTCCTTGCAATGACTCCTTGCAATGAATCCTTGCGAGACATATAGCAGTGACCCGGGGGAGTGTGGGGGTTCGGCAGGTTGGCGTGTAAGAGCCATATAGCACATATAGGACATATAGCAAGGACCCGGGGGAGTGTTGGGGTTCGGCAGGTTAGCGTGTGAGAACCGTGTAGCACATATAGCACATATAGCAAGGACCCGGGGGAGTGTGGGGGTTCGGCAGGTTGGTGTGTGAGAGGGCGGTCCTGGCGCGGCTCTGCAGGTTGGCGTACACGCCTCGACGCCGTTTTTGGATCAATTTTGAATCAATATTGCTGCAACGAAAGTCAACCATGGGTGCAACAAAACGACCCCTAGATATGCTTGCAATTTGCCTCCAGGTCGCATGAGGAGTTAAAATCTCTTCTTAGGTCGGCGGGGTAGTGCCGACGACACTCTGCGAAAATCGACCCTCTGCGGGGATTGGCGTGGTCGAGGTGCAAAAACTCGAGTTTGTTTTTTCTCGATTTTGTTTTGGCTCGCGCGACCCTCTGCGGGGATTGGCGTGGTCGAGGTGCAAAAACTCGAGGTTGTTTTGCGATTTTGTTTTGGCTCGCGCGACCCTCTGCGGGATCGGCGTGGTCGAGGTGCAAGAACTCGAGGTGTTTTTTTTTCTCGATTTTGTTTGGGCCCGCGCGACCCTCTGCGGGGATCGGCGTGGTCGAGGTGCAAAAACTCGAGGTTTTTTACGATTTCTGCGGCGCTCGCGCGACCCTCTGCGGGGATCGGCGTGGTCGAGGTGCAAAAACTTGCGTGGTCGAAGTGCAAAAACTCAAGGTTTTTTGATTCGAACTGGTCCTCGCGAGTTGCCTCGTGGTTCGCGCGCCTGCTCCCGGGACCGGCGGGTCGCGGGTTCGATTCCCCCCTGGTCCGCGGGCGGGCTTCGCAAGCTGCACGGAGCAACTTGCATAAAGCAACTTGCGCAGAGCAACTTGCGCAGAGCAAGTTGCACAGACCATTTTGCGCAGAGCAACTTGCACAGACCAGCTTGCGCAGAGCGCCTTGCCTAGAGCAACTTGCGCAGAGCAACTTACGCAGAGCAACTTGCACAGAGCAACTTGCGCGCAGCAGCTTGCACAGAGCAACTTGCAGGGAGCAACTTGCACGGCCAACTTGCACGGAGCAACTTGCGCAGAGCAACTTGCACAGACCAACTTGCACAGAGCAGCTTGCGCAGAGCAATTTGCGCAGAGCAACTTTGACAGAGCAACTTGCGCAGAGCAACTTGCGCAGAGCAACTTGCACAGAACAACTTGCACAGAGCAACTTGTACAGAGACATTTGCACAGAGTCAGTTGCACAGTGCTTCTTGCACAGAGCAACTTGCGCAAAGCAACTTGCGCAGAGCAACTTGCAGAGCAACTTGCGCAGAGCAGCTTGCACAGAGCAACTTGCACAGAGCAACTTGCACAGAGCAACTTGCGCAGAGCAACTTGCACAGACCAGTTTGCGCAAAGCACCTTGAAAGCATCACAGCCCCGTGACCATTCTTTTCTTGCGCTTCCTGAGCTTTTCAGGCTTTGAGGGCTTTGGGGTTTAGTGGGGATATCGGGATTTCCATTCGACCCGCTAAAAGTCGGACTTTTAGTCAGTGACCTGAGGACAGCCCGTTATGAGTGGGAAAGGCCTCTTCGCATGTCAGACAAGAGTGACCCAAAAGCGCATTGTGCTCTTTGAGTTTTCAATTTGAAACAACAGTCGGAACCCGGTATGATCGCTTTTGAGTTGGCAATTTGAGGGTGTCGTCTCCCCATCCGCAGGTTTGGATTTTCTTACATGCAACCTAAGTAATCAAGCATTGCCAGACTTGCCGTTGAAACTGATTGATCTTTTGGTTTTCAAGCACTGGCAACGCTGCCCGTGCTGACTTGAGCATGTCACGCCTTCTCCCCCGTCCAGTCTTTCTGTTAAAACCCTCTAGGCCCCGTGCCGAAATTGGGTAGCTGTTCTGAGGTCCTTGTTGGTGTTGCTTCCCAAGTTCCATTGATCGCCATTTGGCTCAAGACACAATTGAGGTTCAAGATCTGATGTGTGACTGCATACATACGTGATCGGCATTGAGAGCGAAAACACTTCGCTTGCGCTGCATTTGTCAGGACTACTGTTGTAACTATCATTCCTTCTCCCTTACAACGTTTACACGGGTTCGGCTATAACGGCATCGTCCGTATACACCTTTCTACGTGGTTGGTATTACAGCTTGAGGGTTCGGTGCATAGCGTCCCACGGGACGTCACCTTGCCGTCTCTTGACAGGTTATCAGCCGTAACTACAAGCTCTACACTGGACTGGGAGACAGCTGGTTTATTGCGGGTACAGGGACAATAAAGGAACGATAACCTACACAGTACAATGGCGTCTTCGGCGAGCCCAAGTACTGCAACTTTTGGGAACAGCAGCTCAGAGGGATCCAATGGATTGATGGCTCTTCCTGCGGTGATGGATATGGCTGCAGATTCACAGGATGAACCTGGGAGCGGAGGTTCCGCGCTATTCAGCGACATATCTACTCCCACAAGATCATGGAAGCAGATCGATGTTCATCAGGAGTCGAAGAAAAGAGAATCCCCACCGAGAAGATCATCATCTTCGCCTGCGACACCACGGACGTCGCAGAAGGGCGTGAGATCGACATCGAAGGGTGGGAGGTCAAAATCACCCACCAGTGCAGATTTTCGCGCCGTGATCAAAGAGAAGAATAAGATGGAGGTGGAGATCGGGGAATATCAAAAGACACTTGATGAAATGTCGGCAGCAATGGCGAATCTTAACCAAGAAGACTATGGAAGCACCATCCGGATCCAGGAGCTGGAAAGACGATGCGAGATTGCCAGCAAGCAGTCGGGACATCTAGTGAGTCACCACCAACACCACATGGCTGAGGCATGGCGCAAGTTTGAGGAAGAAGCCCAACAGATGCGCAAGGTGGAAATGAACGCATTTCAGTACGGGGAGAAGAAAGACATGGAGTCGAATATTATAATGCAACAGATGAGGCAAGCTGAAGGAACTATCATGGAGCAGAAGCGGGAGATTGCATTGATGAAATCCTACATGGCAAGCGAGAAGTCGGCCGCGCAGGAATCAGCTATACGTGCAAATCAGATACACCGTGAGGCTTCACAACAGATATCAGTTTATCAGCAACAGATCAGAGGCATAGGATCTTCTACATCTATCGAGAAGTTCAACGAGGAGGAGATGGTCCAAAGTCTGAAATCACAGTTGGAGCATGCACTCGTCAAGCGCCCCGAGACGTACTCTTTGGAGGACTCCAGGGAACAGCTGATGGCGAGGCTGAATGACGTTACAGTATTTGCGGAACAGGAATCGAAGAGAGCAGATTGCTTGCTTCGCGAAAAAGAAGAGATCGTCAAACAGTATGAGTCCGACGTGTCGATGAAGGACCAGATGATTGCTGTCGAAGGTGGTCATCGTCAGGATGCGATCTTGGAGTTAGCCCAGGTCAAAGAAGAGAAACAAGAGGAACGGTGCACGATGGACGAGAAGTCGAAGGAGGCTGAGTACTGGAGATTGACAGCTAAGGGAATGTACGATGAGTACCTCGAGGAGATGCATGAGCTTCAGAGACAACTGAAAGAAAGAGAGGCGACGCTCAAGCAAGAAGAGAGTTTTGTACGCCAACTCGATGCTGACAACGAGGAACTACGTGCACACAAGAAGCTGGAGACACAGGAAGCCTCCAGCAGCAAAGATGGACATCGTGAACGAGCAGTAGTGAAACGCGCTGAGGGAGGAACCCAGGCTAATTCAAATAGGATAGACAAGAAGGTGGCTGGGTCAGTCCCGTCATCGACTTCAAATCAAATCCCTAATTCGTCGCTGATGCCAGGTTCGATCCTCTTTCCGTCTTTCGGTGATCCAACTGATCGATGTACACCTATCCCAGATGCAAGGGGTTGTTGGGCATGTCCCACAATCCACTACTACGACTGGTGGTGGTGATGGGGGGGGAAACAACGGTACTACGCCCCATTGGATTAGGTGGATTCCCGCCCAATGGGAATGGGCAGGGAGCGGGTCGACGTCAGTTGAGCCTCGCTGGTGGCGGAGGAGGACCTCCGGATGATCCACCCGATGATGAGGATGAGGATGACGACGACGAAGGAGATGAGGAAGACGAGGAAGAAGAAGAGGAAGAAGACGATCGGACACGGAGGAGACGAAGGAGATCGAGAGATAACCGAGAGATCAAGAATGATCGACCGAGAATCTCGAGGAAAGAGGCCGAGAGAGTATCTATTCCGGCCTGGCCAAAGATCCATCAACTTGACACCTGGAAGATGCAACTGCTGATGAATGTTCTGAGCGCATGTGCAGATCCAGATACCGACGCATGGACGAAATGGCTGGAGCAGGCTCTTGGGTTGAACCCAGACCTGGATTTGCTTAGCGATTCAGGTGGCGACAGATTTGCTACGATAGATATTAAGATGGCCATGGGCATGCAGAACATGCTGAAACAAGCACCTGACGAAGCCAAGGACGTATACCTCGATGCTACACGACACTCTGAACTACGACATCAACAAGGGGTGATCGTGAAGGGACGAGAGTTGGTGGCATTAGTTATGCAATCATTCAGAACTTCCGATAGAACGGATCTTGTCTACCACATCGAGCACCTATTCAACCTTGACTTTCCTGGCGACAAGAACTTGGTCATGTTCAGGAACAAATGGTATGATTTGCTGCTGAAGATGAGGAGCGAGGACAGACCCAGTA